CATATTGGTTGTGAGGAAGAAAAGAGTTAGTATGATATGTCAAGGTTTTTTTCATCATCGAATCTTGCAGCACCTGGCATTAGACCTTCAGTATTCCATAAATGTGTGTTGAGTGAGTGAGTGAATGAAGGAATAAATGAATAAATTCAAAAAGAAGAAAGTCCTCTTCATATTAATGGTGAAAACTATTGAAAAGTCTTACTTTGTCCCTTGGGCTCTCACCAGTTGACTCTCAGTGACTGTTATGAAGGCTTGTAATACACTAAAAAAAAATCACTGCAGTATGCTTGGTCATGCAGTGAAAATCAATACCATTCACTATTTCATCTGTTCAGTAGTCTTAAGTATTTGAGAGCATCAGAAAAATCTATTTGTCAAGACAGTGTGTCATCACCAGCTTCTCTGAGAAAATAATATACATTTAAAAGAGGCTAACAGACGTTTCTTTTAAATGATGGGTTTAGGAGCATCCAGAGTTAATTTTAAATTCAGCTCAACATGTATCAAACACATTTGGTATTAGATTTGGAAGATTGATTACAAAGGTTTTGTGTGTATGTTCTGAGTGACAAAAATTGTAAACTGTCAGCCATGGGTTACCAGAGTGATAGTCAATCCAAACTAAACTATGGTGTGATTTTTAAATTAACTTTCCTCTAGAAATAACAAGCCGAGTATTGAATCCATGAGATATGCATGTGTAGAAATCTATAGAAAAAGGAAAATGTAAAATATTATCTTTTCATTCGTACAGAGGATGTTCCAGTGATGAGTTAATGTGCAACTAAATTTCTTTCCAAACTCCAATTTAACAAATAACAAATTTTATCATTCATGGTTTATTGACAGCTATTTCACAAATTGTGTAATAAAAATCATCTCCAGCATAAACAGATGCTCTTAAATCCCAAATATGCTATTTAGAAATGCTATCATTTGATGATGGAGACTATAGATATGAGCTGGCATAATATTTTGATATGATTATTTTAAAAAGGACTAGGGATCGATACATCAGCTCACTCTTTTATGCAATCTACCAGTTACCAGTGTATTACATTTTTTCCTGTAATGAATAGTTCTCAGGACACTGTTAGCATAAAGCATTTCTCAGTGACATCAGGTCCATAGCTGTATGTTGTAGTGTCCAGGACATTACCGATTAAATCCAAAAATCTTTCTTCTACTTTCCTTTTTTGCTATAATCCTCTCTTTGCATTTTAAAATAATATTTTCTCCAAGGTTGTTTCTTTTTAACCATCTATATAAATAAGATCACATGATAAATAAATTGCAATCATCATCTTCTTCCCCCTTTTCTCGTTCATTAGAGTGGGCTCACTTCATCCAAGATCCTTACTTTTTCCCCCCATCCACTCCTTCAATGTTCATCTTCATTATGGGCAATCATAATTTTTAAAGATGCAAACCCATAGTCAGTGTATCCTTGATCTTATGCACTGACACCAGAGGGTGGGAGAGTGGATAATGTTAGAAGGCAATAATAATTTAAATTGGCTGGGTGCAGTGGCTCACACCTGTGATCCTAGCACTTTGGGAGGCTGAGGCGAGCAGATTGCTTGCGTCCAGGAGTTTGAGACCAGCGTGGGCAACATGGCAAAACTTCATCTCCACACACACACACACAAAATACAAAAATTAGCTGGGTGTGATGTCACGCACCTGTGGTCCCAGCTACTTGGGAAGCAAAGATGGGAGAATCACCTGAGCCCAGGGAGATCGAGATTGTAGTAAGCTGTGATCAGGCCACTGCACTTTGGCCTGGGTGACACAGCAAGACCCTGTCTCAAAAAAATAATGTTAATAATAATCTAGATTTTGTCCCTTTCTTTATGATTTAAAGCTATCCATAGAAAGATAGAATAGGTTGCTCAACTATAGCATAATTTTTTCATTCTTTAAGATTTTTTCTTACCACTAAAGTATCCTTTTTAGAAGCCATGCCACAGAAGCATGAAAAAAAGAAATGAGAAACTATTAATATCTAGCCACTTAGGAAAGCTGTTGTTATAATAAGTCTAAAGTGTAATTTTTATCTTTGTCTTTGTTTTTTTAAATTTTTATTTTCATGGATTTGGGGGTACAAGTGCATTTTTGTTACATGAATATATTGCATAGAGGTGAAGTCTAGGCTTTGAGTGGACCCATCAACTGAATAGTGAACATTGTACTCAATAGGTAATTTTTCAACCCTCACCTCTTTCCCACTCTCCCCACTTTCTGAGTCTCCAGTGTTTATTATTTCCATCTTTATGTCCATGTGTATTCATTATTTAACTCTCACTTATAAGTGAGAACGTATGGTATTTGATTTTCTCTTTCTGAGTTATTTCACTTAATATAATGGTCTCCAGTCCCATCCATGTTGCTGCAAAGGATATAATTTTATTCTTTTTTTATGGCTGCATAGTATTCCATTGTATATCTACACCACATTTTCTTTATCCAGTCATCCACTGATGGATGCTTAGGTTGATTCCATACCTTTGCTATTGTGAGTGGTGCTGCAATAAACATATGAGTACAGGTGTCTTTTTGATATAATGATTTATTTTCCATTGGATAGGACCCAGTAGTGAGACTGCTGGATGGAATGGTAGTTTTATTTTCAGTTCTTTGAGAAATCTCCATGCCGTTTTCCATAAAGGCTGTAGTAATTTAACATTCCCATCAACATTGTTTAAGAGTTCCCTTTTCTCTGTATCATTGTTAACATCTGTTGTCGTTTGACTTTTTAATGATAGCCATTCTAACTGGTGTAAGTTGATATCTCATTGTGGTTTTAATTTGCATTTCCATGATGATTAGTGATGTTGAGCATTTTTTCATATACCTATTTGGCCATTTGTATGTGTCTTCGCTTGAGAAATGTCTATTCATGTCCTTTGCTCACTTTTTAATGAGGATTTTGTTTTCATGTTGAGTTGTTTGAATTCCTTAGTCCTTTGTTGGATGCACAGTTTGCAAATATTTTCTCCCATTCTGTAGGTTGTCTGTTTACTCTATTGGTTATTTCTTTTTCTGTGCAGAAGCTTTTTAATCTAATTAAGTCCCATTTGTCTATTTTTGTTTTTGTTGCATTTACTTTTGGGGTGTTAGTCATTATAGTTCTTTGCCTAGGCCAATGTTCAGAAAAGTTTTTCCTAGGCCTTTTTTCTATGATTTTTGTAGCTTCAGGTCTTACATTTAAGTTAAAGCATCATTTTAAAATTGCTTTCCAAAGCGTAAATAATAAGAGTAATGGCTTGTAATAATTCTTTTCTGTGTTATCTTTATTGAAGAAAGCAAGAGGAATGCATTTTGGTCCCCACAGAGTTTCAGCTCTGAAGATAATTAGGAGCCTTGTCTTTAAGTTTCAGTTACAGGGTTGGGGCCCAAACTCGTATTAGAACTTGTATCAAGATCTTATAAGAGGGCAAAGGGATTATTTGTAAAATTTGTAAAATATTGACTGGAAAATTATTTTAGAAGATAGAAAGTGACCTTTCAAATTTTAAGGGGGAAAAGCAATTGATTTATGTAATCATTGTGCATGTGACTTAACAGTGTAGTTACACTGGTTTTGACTTCATCTAGTATTCCCTTAATAGTATTATATCAAATCCTATCTTTACTGTGCCTGTTTATAGAATCATTTGGAATATGGCACTTTCTAGCAGCAAAAACAAGGATGTGCAAACAAAGTGGTGGTTCTGTTTCTGACCTTGCTCTAAAAAAGTAATAATTTTGCTGTTGCTCACTTTTCGTCTAAAGGAGGAAAAAAAATTCTAATTTCTGTTCATCCCTCAAGGATTGCTTACAGAACTATTATGGAAATATAAATATATGTAAAACTACAGCTTAGAAATGTGTATAGAATTGCAAGCTGCCGTAGTGCTCTTCAGTTTATAAAGCACCATCATATCTTTTATCTCATTTCATCTTTTTGTAATTTCCATGAGGATATCTATCATTAGTGTCTTCTTTTTACAAATAAGACGACTAAGGCACAGAATGGCTGAGCAACTTGCCCAGTATTACACAGTAAGAAAGTGAGAGAGGTGAATTGTGACACAGTGTTCAGGAATTTCATGCTCCTCTCTTCTCAACTGTCCTACTCTCAAGAAGTGGTATGATTTTTTTTCTATCGTTTATAATTTACTTGGCTTTATAAATCTGCTACTCATTGTGAAAGCTTTCAAGACTTTTTTAGATGAGTGTATTTTTTTTTCTTGCTCTCAGGATTAATTTTGCAAATGTCAGGATTTTTTCTTTATTAGAAAACAGTGGTGAAGTCCGCTACTTTTCTGTCACAGTTGCGGATGATATGAGTGAAATCTGGAAGGGACCAGTGAGATGACTTTTCACAGTAGATCACATGACTACTACCAGAATGCAAGTCTCTTGCCCTGCAGACCAGTGCTCTTTCCACCATCCCTGTCTGCCACATTTAGAACAGCAGTTAGTTGCAGCAGTTATCAATTACAGGCAAAGCAGACAATTCTTCTATTACAGAACTGCCACATTCATGTAACTTTAAGTGATATATCATAACTTTATTCCTAGTTTTCAATCTGAGTAGAGGAAAAGGGGAGGCAATTTTGAGATATTTATTGATGTCAAAACATTTTTAAAGTATTTAAAGTCAGGCTTTGGTGATTTTTTGCTATCTTAAAGTACAGTGCTGTGAACACTAGTAAAAAAATGCTGGTCACAGGCCAAGCGCGGTGGCTCACGCCTGTAATCCCAGCACATTGGGAGCCGAGGTGGGCGGATCATGAGGTCAGGAGATGGGGACCATCCTGGCTAACACGGTGAAACCCCATCTCTACTGAAAATACAAAAAATTAGCTGGGCGTGGTGACAGGCGCCAGTAGTCCCAGCTACTCAGGAGGCTGAGGCAGAAGAATGGTGTCAACACGGGAGGCGGAGCTTGCGGTGAGCTGCACTCCAGCCTGAGTGACAGAACGAGACTCCGTCTAAACAACAACAAATGCTGATCAGGGAGTAGAAAGTGCCTACGTGCCCATCAAAAGCTAGTATCAGCAATCTCCTTGGGTAAATGTATGTAAAGATTAAAAGGCAATTCCTCACTATACTCCCCACAATTTACCAGGATTCCTTTGTCTCCCTATCATTTCCAGGCATGCTATCCAGACCTACCCACTGCCAAAGAGGCAGGAATGGAAAAGCTTTTCCAGGCTTTGCGTTGTCACTTTTTCAGGGAGCTCGCCATGGGAGCTATGTCTTCTAACGCCTGGTCCTACACTATCACATCCACATAACTCCAGCAGCCAAGTGACCAACACTCAGTTATATACATCTATTGTTGCTGCAGTTATTAAGTTTGAAAACACATGAAGGAAAAGTTTGGCAGCTCTCACATGCAAAAAGCTGAATATGCCTTTAATAAAGCTTTTCTCTCTGTTCTGCTTTTCAATCTCAGAAGATTCAAACCTACCTTTTCTCACCTCTCTCTTTCTCCCCTGCCTTCATTTCTAGATTTCACGATTTACTAACAGGAGTCAGCATCCCATTTAAAATATGGCCTATTCTATGTAATATGATATTAATTTATGCAGAGCAGAATAGCACTGAGCCATTTCTCCTGCAAAATGACTAAAGCCATCCACACCAACCCCCCCAAGCAAATAAACAAGCTCGCCTAACAATGCGAGAGGTTGCAGATTTTCCTTTCCTAGTTGCCATGCCAACCACTCATTGCTCTGGCTGCCATTTCCCTGAGCTCCGCAGAGAGAGGAGTGTGCAGAACAGTTATTTAGCATTCAAGGGTGGATCTGCAGAAAACCACACAGCCTCACTGCGAAGCATCTGGGCCTGGTGGCACCGATGGATGAGGACAGAAAATGGGGATCTTTTCAGTGTTTTCCTTCTAAAGGTTAGGCATCTGGGGCTAGAAAGAGTAAGAAAGAACAAGGATTGATAGAAAAGGCAGTTCCACGAGGTTTGTATTGTCACGTTTGCTTTGTCCTATGTGGTCTCTCTACTAGGTGAAGCTGGTTGTGGGGATTAGTTTCAATCATAATATTTGGCTTGGCTTGTTGATGAATAGGATTTGAACCTAATTTAGGGCTAGCTTATATGGATATTATAATAAAGAATTGTGTCTTTTATTCTTGATACAATATGAGGTTGTATATGGCAGGTATTGCCAGCCAGAGCTTTTGATATTTTACAAATTAGAGGAAAAAACCAACGTCAGATAAAGTTTTGTTTCATTGTACAATTATAAGGTACTTTGTCCCATAAAAATCTGTCTTTGCTCTTTAGTCAAGTCTTAAGGTAGGATGAGATTTTCTTAAGATGGTAATTCTGAATCGAAATATGAGGAAGACTTGGTTTCTCAAGACTTGTTTCCATTAAACCCTATGACTCAACAAATTGAGGTATGATTTTATTCCTTGGAATTTTAATTGCCTACAAACACTTCAAGTTGTGAAGAGCAAGACTCTATCTAACACAATATAATAGGATATTTAAAAACTGAGGTTAATTGCATTAACATATACTTCTATGTGTGTTCCTCAAGAAAATTCCTCCCATGCACTGTGGAAATCAGTCTCGTTTCTTGTCTTGCTTTGTGCTAAATGTCAGAACTACATCACAAGCACAAAAAAAAAAAAAAAAAAAAGTATTTTCTCAGATGTTTTGGTCCACTGACATTTTAAAAATTATTCTGTTGAATTTGAATCTTAATGCAACAGATTTGTGCCAATGACAATTCAGACCTATTTGTGGAAATTATTCTTTCTGGTTTGTTTTTAAGTGTAAATATAATTTAATTATCATTGTAATTTTTACTTGACCTTTCTCTCATCCTGTATTTTCCATGATCTTAAGTTTTCTCTCCTCTAACTTGCTGTCATGTTTGTCATCATATTTTTCTCTTAACGTTTTTCAATTTTTTTGAGATTAAGAAAACCTCCATTTAGATAAAAATTATAAACAATTATTAAATGCTCTTTTATTTTTAGCGAACAGATGAAAGTAATAAGTAATGGAAGTGAGTCTTCTATATTCATTTTTGGACTGTCTAAGCCTTTGTTTTGGTTAGGATTATGCATGGCCTTTATCTGTCCTTTGTTACATTTCGAAGTATTTTCTCCTCACCAAAGAGAAAAGAAAAAAAGATAAGATAAAAAATCTAATGGTTTTGAACAAATAAATTGCTCAAATATCTTGAGAATATATTTCAGATCAAGCAATAATGTGTTGTTAAGTGTGAAATATATATATACACATATATATATTCTTTGATTATATTACTTCTGCATGTCTGAGAAAGATATTTGCCACTGTATGCCAAATGCTGCCTTGCGGTTTAGCATTGGGTTTGATTTTATTGCGGTTGGGAGGTTAGTAAGTAGACTGGAGAGTACCCAACAGTTATCACTCCTCTTTTTTCCCCTCCAAGCTATTGAGATAAACTGACTCTTTCTGCTTCAGTGTGTCAAGCCTTTTTCTCTTCCTCTCATTCCCTCACACTTCACTGCTCCCCAGTACATTACATAAAGCATGTGCTTTGACTGTCAGGGGAGTCTGAAAATCATATCAGGAGAGGATGAACAGAACAACTGGTGCTGCATTGCAGACCTGGTAGCTTCAGCATTATCTGACCTGGCATCGTGAGTCCTGGGGGAAAAGGACACTAAACCGTGTCCTGCCGGCTCACTGTGTAGCTCGTCTCACTGAATGAGTCACCATTCAGCAACACTCATAGAAAATACAATTCAAAAACCAGCCAAGCTGACAAGCAAAGGAAGGGGAAAGCGTATGTCATAGGTTCTCATGCAACTTTTAACAATTGCTTTTAACAATTTTTGCAAATGCTGGGTGGTTATTAGAACACAGAAATAAGAGTAAAATACAGTCAATTTCAGGAATATGCAAGAAGGCATTAGGCAAAAATAGAAAAGAAAGGAGGAATCAAGATTCAGAGAAAAATCATCCTAAATACATATGATTCAGCTTAAGCATCCTGAAAATCCATATTTTTAATTTGGAAACACAGGTCAAAGTGATGCTGGCATATGAGCACCTCTGATTCTTGCAAAGCATATCCAGTCTGAATGATCAGTCCTCTGATTGGTCTAAAATTTTCTCTTTTGTGACACGTTACATTTGCCGAATGTAAATGGGCAAGTTTACATTGTGGTGTTTTCATTCCCATGCAGCATTGTGCAACAAGTCATAGGAAAAACATTTTGGAAGGGTACCACCCTACAGCAAAGGTTCTCAGAAGTCTACCATTAAAGATAAAGAGCTGTTGTTGATTTTATTCTCTCAAATGAGTCTCCCTCCTCTGAACACCAAGTACCATGTTTATATCTTGCTAATGCAATTGATCATAGCAATCATTTTACTGAGGTTACTTGTTATTTGTTTTTATTCCAGTCACTAGGTTGGAAATGCTTTGAGGTAGAACCTGTACTTCATTCATCTTTCTTTTCCTTTTTGTATATAACACAGTGCTTATTTTCTATAATATGTAGGTGCTAGTACATATTTTTGAATTAATATAAAGAAGAGAGGGCTGGGCGTGGTGGCTTATGCCTGTAATCCCAGCACTTTGGGAGGCCAAGATGGGTGGATCACTTGAGGTCAGGAGTTGAAACCAGCCTGGCCAACATAGTGAAACCCTGCCTCTACTAAAAAAACAAAAATTAGCTGGGCATGGTGGCACACACCTGTAATACCAGCTACCCGTGAGGTTGCAGCCCAAGAATTGCTTGAATCCAGGAGGTGGAGGTTACAGTGAGCTGAAATCATGCCACTGCACTCCAGCCTGGGCAACAGAGTGAGACCTTGTCTCAAAAAAAAAAAAAAAAAAAAAGGAGGAAGAAGAGAGAGAATATCCATATATAGTTGTGAGAATGGAAATCACATAAACAAAATGGTCTACAAAATTTATACTACATTGTGAACAATAAATCTGCAGGAAAGACTATGTTAGAAAGGAAAACTGTGGCTAACACCTGTGTCCCAGCACTTTGGGAGGCCAAGGCAGGCAGATCATGAGGTCAGGAGATCAAGACCATCCTGGCCAACATGGTGAAACCCCATCTCTACTAAAAATACAAAAGTTAGCTGGGCTTGGTGGTGCACGCCTGTAGTCCCAGTTACTCGGGAGGCTGAGGCAGGAGAATCGCTTGAACCCAGGAGGTGGAGGTTGCAGTGAGCTGAGATCGCGCCCCTGCACTCTAGCCTGGTGACAGAGTGAGACCCCATCCCAAAAGAAAAGAAAAGAAAAGAAAGAAAGGAAAACTGAGAATGAAGAGGTAAATCAAGAAACTGAAAACAGTCGAGATTCAAAGTAAGGACTTTAGAACTGTTGGTTAGGACAGAAAGAAATTAGGTAGGAACTCCAAAATACTGTAGTGAAAATATATAGTGGAAGACTTAACTTGTTCTGAAATTGGGAGTGAGAGTTGGGAGTAAAGAAAATATATCTTTGACTGACAATAGCTGTATAAGATATCAAATTGGAGATATTTTCTTGATGATGAAAATTACTGAACTGAAAATAATATGAAAAGTCCAGATAAATGAACTTTCTGAAAGATAATCTAGTGGTTAAGAAATACACAGATACAGAAAAAATTTTCATGTTCATTTCTGCAGAATTGAGGCCAGTGTAATAACTGGCTTGGGTTGAAAATGCCACCGAAATATGCTGTAAATGGAACTCTATAATGCATGTCCTTTTTGATCCTCTGACTATAAATAAGGATTGCTGCGCTGTTCTAGGTCAGGAGCTCAAGTAAATCTCATTTCTGACAAATGGGCAATCTAAATCTTAAAGCATTTGGATATTCTAAGTCATGGATTTAATATGTGCCTCCATTAAAGGAGTATACCAGTATCATCTTGGAAAGATATTATGTATCCTATTTTTGAAGACCAAATGTCACCAATGCCCTTTATTTTCTCTATTTCATCTTTGAGTCTATAAAATTATTTGCAAATGAGTTCTTAGATAGTAAACAACATTTTCATGTCAAATTAGGAAATTTATACATTAACTTTAGGAAAATATTGTGATTTCAGTTAAATATAATTCCTTAGTTTCATTTTAGTTTTCATTTTTCACTTAATAAAAAGCTTCCTGTGATCCATAATTTTCTTTTTTCCTTTGACATATTTGAATGAAAATGCTCCCATTTACATTTTCTAAATCTAATCGTTAAGTATCTCAGTGTTTTTAGTGAAATTCTTCTGCAAGGAGGAAACTTATAATAGCAATAATAATTATCAACTTACTTTTATAAGCGCTTTAAAAAAATAAATCAGTTCACAGGATACTTTTTCTCCTTATTGCATTTTGCATCTTCAGCCCATGTTTGTTTATGTCTTTCTTTAAAAATGGACTTTGGTTGTTTTTCTCATCAGCTTGAAAAACAGAGATTTGTGACTAAAGCTTTAAAAAAATTGGAATAAACTTGCTTTCCTTTGAGCTTTACTGGAACACAAATGCTGACCTGGGGAAAGTGGCTTTTTCTCCAAATATTGCACTAACTTGGTGTAGATCACAACGCATATAAGATATTTATTTTCTCCAAGCCAGTTCTCATCTAGTTTTTTAGAAGTCCTGATTGCTATAAGAAAAGACGCAAATAATTAAGTTTGAAGCAAATATAGTAGCCACTTAACAAAAGTCACATTTTAAGAGAGGAAGTTCATTCAGTTCGGCTAACTATAGTCCGCCGCTCTCATGTAAATATCTGCCATCCTGAAGAAAAATGTGTTATGAAATGCTCTGCAGACCACATTTAACTTGCACATATGATCCTAATACAACATCAAAAATACTGCTCAAGGAGTTGGCTATTTTGGTGACACAGGTTCCCTTTCTAGTTGGATTTCACTCTCTAAGGGTGAACATAAATTACGCTAGTTGACAATTTATCATCTTATGATGGAATTACTAGATAAGTTTGAATTGAA